GTATAACACATAACGTTATTTAAACATACGCAACAATAAAATAACGTTACTACAATGTTTGGTGCTACCTGGGGCGTACGCCGAAATGACTACGGTATTGATTTTGGCGTACGCCATAACCACTACCGTAGTCGAAGCGGAGGGGTAGTGAGATCGGCGTCCTACACCCGGCGTCGACGTCGACCCCGACCTACCTCGTTGACCCCGACGCGCCTTTTTTGCTCAGTGTGAATGCGTCTTTAATGCGCCTTGAGGAGAAGCCTATCTCTCCCTAGGAGAAGCCGGAGATAGGGAGGCTGTAGCCGGAGGGCTGTCCCTATTCGCACTCCGAGTGCGGATAGTGGTAGATTCTTATCCGCACTCCGAGTGCGGATAATTTTGGATTCTTATCCGCACTCCGAGTGCGGATTGCGTTGGATTCTTATCCGCACTCCGAGTGCGTGGGGCGAAGAACTTGGCGTGTGGCGTGGCGCGACTTGGACGCGGGAAACTTTGGACATAGTGACTTACGATGTTCGTGGTGTGACATTGGCATGTTGGCAGCACCGATTTCATAGAAATATTAGTGGTTGTGCGGTGTTTGATTGGGAGGAGACCTGTGTTTCCGAATGAATTCAATTTCAAACAAATGCATAATCGTAAACATATAATTAAAACAGCGCGAACGAACACAAGGACAAGTAGAAAAAGAGACACAGCCACAGCGCTGACTCGCGGTTTACTCTATTTTTTTGTCTTCAACATCAACATAAGAAGACGCGAGTCAGCGCTGTGTTTCTGTCCCTTCTTCTACTTGTGCTTGTTTTCGTTTGCGCTCTTTTGATTATATGTTCACTATGCACCACCGACTAGCTCACCTCCAAACATCACTGCAAATGCATAATCGCTTTTTTTTTTCTTTTTTTTTTTTCGGAATTTATTAGCGCTAGATGGTGTATTTGGGTAGAGACTGAACTGTACTCGCGCCTCGGGGGCTTGAAAAAAGCATGAACACAGGACGTAAGCAATCCTATTGTTCCTTCAGTATCCTTTTTTTTGTTTTTTTTTTTTGTTAAACAAAATATTATTATTTGCAAAAAAAAAAAAAAAAAAAAAAACGGAAGCTGGTTAAAGATTTGTATTATAACGCGCCTTCGCCACAGTCAGCACATTAACATTGTGTGGTGGATAGGGGCAGTAATGTGGGAACGGTGGGCGGCTAGCAAACAATTTTCAATACACAATTACCCCCCCCCCCCCCCCCCCCCCCCGCCCCAGACCACACACACACACACACACGCAGAGATGAGCTCTGCCGCCACGCCCAAAACCCGCAAGCTCAGTGTTCGGCACCCTCGGCATATATGTTTAACATCTTCGATCACACAACCACACAAAAACATCTTTTAACAGCCATCACATCTATCGTCGTCTACTTGCAAAGCGCAAATCATTCTATTAAAAAAAATTACAGTAACAAAGGGCCGGGGACTTATCAGGCATTCCCTCATCTAGTAGTGTTGAAAGTGTTCAGAAGATTGAGCCGGGAGGGGGGGGGGGACTTCATTTTTTAATAATATTGTTTACTGGAAATGACTGATTTTCCTTACCCCCTCCCCCCCCCCCTTTTTTTTTCCTAAGCCACTGCCCCCATCATCTAAGCACAAGACAATACACGTCACAAATTGCACACTGCTCTAGCTTCTTTCTTTTTTTTTCGTCAATAAAAATATTTAACCGTCAAAAAAAAAAAAAAAAAATCGCCAGAACTTTTTTTTTTTTTTTGGTGGGGGGGGGGGGGGGATTGTAAAGTTGATGTGTTGGGGAACACAAACACGCACACACACACGCACGCATACACACACGCGCACGCGCAAGCGCACGCACACGCGCAAGCACACGCACTTGATCGCCTCTATCCGATCTTCGAGGCGTGAGTACCGTTTAATCTGAAGTGCACCACGGCCAATGTTATAACTTTTTTTTTTTTTTTTTTTTATAAAACAAAAAAACATTTCCTTGAAATTATTTTAATTCTGAAACCGGAACCGCCAATATTTCCATACGCTCGTCGAGTCTGCCAACACGCCAATGAATCAACACAAAGTTGAGAAATCGCGCCACACGCGGAGTGCAGGTAAAGAAAATCCAACGGCTTCGTGCCAACGTCTTCGTACCCCGCCACCCCCGCCCCGGTGTTGCGGCTGCCCGGTGCCCCCGGTACAGCGTCCGCGCCAGTCCGCGCCTCCGCACGCAATCCGCACTCACGCACTCGGAGGCTCGGAGTGCGGATAAGAAGCCAACATAATCCGCACTCGGAGTGCGGATAAGAATCCAAAATTATTCGCACTCGGAGTGCGGATAAGAATCCACCACTATCCGCACTCGGGGTGCGAATAGGGACAGCCTAGCCGGAGACCGGGAGAAGCTAATAGCATCCTCGATCATCCGCACCGGTGCGCACCGGGGCACTGAGGTGCGCCCCTTCATCTTCGATCAAGTGCACCGGTGCGCACCGTACGTCCTCGATCAACGAAGCGCACCCTCCCGGTGCGGCTTTTCGTTGCCCCAACGCGCACCAAGAAAATCGGCGGTGCGCCGGGGGGCAGTCCCATCAGGCATTGCGGCCAGGAGCGGGAATCGAGAAGATGGCGGGAGTAGCAGACGCGCAGACTATCGAGATGGCGATCTTGCAAAAACGAACACGCCTCGCAGCTGCACCTCGGGTCTTCTGACGGCGAGACGACGAGCTTCTCACCATCGCCGCGATTACTGGCGATTGCTGCGGTGGCAAGGAGCGCCTGAAAAGCACGAACTTCGTGGAAAGCGGCGCGAGGCGTTTCGATGACAGCGAGGTACGGCTATTATCTGGTGTTTCGTTTTCTTGAACTAATAATGATGGCCAACATATACATGTGGAATTGTCACCCCCTTCGTGACCCCATCGACAATCACGTCCACGATGTTTATTTCTGTGGGACCGTCAAATCCGCGAGTAAAAAAATAGAAGAAATTGACAGCAGACGGGCACCGAGCGCTGACCTACGCAAAATAAACGAACAAAACGCAAAGTGACGCAAGGTGGAGCTCGCCGCGGTGCACCGGCGCGGCGCAGTTTGTCCTCGATGTTGCACCGACATCGCGCTGCACGACCGAGGAGCGCTGTGCACTGTGCTGGTTTCAGGGCGATTCCGGTGCGAGTTGATCGAAGATGCTATAAGGAGAAGCCAACGAGGTTGGGAGAAGCGGACAGCTACGGACATCTGGTGAGAATATATTCAAATGTTGTGTAATGTTTTTTTTTCTTTATATCACTCAATAAAGTTAATAATATAAAATTACTTCTTTGCTATATAAACACATAAAAGTATTTGGGCTTTTTGGAACAGTCGTGGCGTGTAGGGCAAGTAAGAGCTGTTGTGAATGTTCGAGGCTAGATGGCGGCACAGTAAATAAAACCTTGAATGTTTGCTTGTTTGGAGAGGTTCAACTGGCGCTAGTGTGCTGCTGCAAATTGAAGCAGACAGCAACCAGTCCGAAATTGACTTCCGGTAATGCATTTTCTCTCTGCGCTCGATTATAAGAGCAAATATCACGAATAATTTGTACGTGCAAGGCACATGGGAACATTTCTCAGTCACGCAGACGAAATAACTGGTCAGTTACAGCATTTTTATTTGAAATTCGTGGCATGAAAAACGGTGTTAAAACCGCTTCGTGCGTGTATTTATGTGCACTGTCGGACACTGTAAGCGCGAACACGGCGTCGGCGCTTTCCAGCATGGGGGATATACGTGCCAAAACGAACGAATTACATGTGAAAAACCAAGAGAGACGGCAAGAGCTACGCAGTAACACTGTATAAGTAACTCCTTATGCATGCAGACGATCAAAATAAATTGAAAGCCACGTAATATACTAGTAGTCAGATATGCAATAAATAAGTACTGCTTTATTCTTTCTGCTCGTGAATATGTGCGAAGATGCTTGTTCTGGGTTCAAATCATCAGCCGAACGCTCCAAATCTTTGCAAATAGGGAGAAGCAGAGAACAGGTGCCTGGTTAAAACTGCCCGACATAGGAAATAATGAAAAGATACACCTTTCGTAGCCCACATACTTTATTTTTTGAACTGATCGTCAAGATGCACGACGGAGTCATTTTCATTGGTGAGTGACAGGACGGGCATATTAGCAATATATAAGCGCCACCGGAATGCTAGCGAACCTTGAACGCACTCTACATTCCTTTCGATTGTTATTTTGCTTAGAATCGTCGCTCATTTTTACATACCTGCCATGGAACAGAGGTTTGGGCCTGAAATATAGCGAAGTTTAACATCGTTCAATAGTAAAGAAAAATGCTGTAACTAAAGCAATTACACATTCACCATATCAATAAAGGTACATACTATCCGGTACAACTGAAATAAGAAAAGTTATTCGTGTTATTTTCCGGCGAAGACACAAAATTCTCGCGCGTTTTCCCATAGGAATGCACAGGAGCACCGCAAAAGTAGACTGGTTGCTGTCTGCTTCAATTTGCCTCCCGGAAGTCGCATAGACACTAGCGCCAGTTGAACTTCTAGCCTCAAAGCAAAGCAAAGCACAGGTGACAGTGGGCACAATGAACGGCTTAAAAAGTTATCAGTGTAGGACCTTATACTTGATAGTTGAAACTGTATACTGTATTCTACAGGTTCTACTGGTTTCTCACTCTACAGTTGTCGAAGAAGGGATTGATCTAACAACGGCACTGGGGTTTATATGGGGTTTATCAAGTACAACAAAGAAGAAACCGTCATGGGAAGGTAGAGAACGCTAAACAGATTGTAAAATTACGAAAGCAAGTCGAGGGAAGGCCAAATATCCTATCGATTCATGCATGCACAGTCAATATATATATTTTTCGTGTTCGACTTGGAGGAGCTTCCAAACACTGGCTAGGTGGCGCAAGACGCCGGCCAACTAGAAAAGGTTGGCCTTATTGCTGTATCTATTCATGAATCAGTCGGCCTGGGGTAAACAAACGGGATAAACAAAAAGCCCAAGAAGACTGGTTTGTATGCAGTGTCGCTTGCTGCTTAGGCGCTTAGGTCTGAGGGGGGGTCATCCTAAAGGCAGTGGCCCTGTTGTTCAATAGCGGAAAGTGAGCAGCTTTATTAGTCTACTGACCCAGAACTTGACCCAACAGGGTTTCGGTGTGTGCCGGTAACCCACTTAGCGACGCACGTAACCGAGTAGGAGCGGTTTCGGCAGTGCTCCCATGGGAAGGCACCAACGTAACCATGTGCGAACAGCAGGACCTTGCGATCTTGTGCTTTCAGCACTGTGACAAGAAAGCTAACGTCCTCTGTCTGCAGCTGCCGGAGAACTGTCCCATTTGTGGGCTGGAGTTGGAAGATGCCGAACTTCGTGTCCCGCCGTTCAGGATACCGTACCCTTTCAAGAACTCGCAGAACGCGCCGTGCTCTATCGTTATCAAGCCTTCCAAAGGGGACTTCATGCAGTAAGTTGACATCGCATCTTTGAGTTTTCGACGTAACGCGTGTGTGCGATGTGTTTGCTTCAAGATAAAAACGACCGGCGATCTTTGCACGAGCGCTAATGTAGGTTCTCGTTACTTCTCGTTGACAGAAGTTTCAGGTCAGTTTGCTGATGGGTACTCTTCTTAATAGCCCAATCTCGTTGTCCCTTAAAACGTAGTTTCACAATTGATCCGAATCACAGCACCCTAGTCGCGTCTGATTGTAATGGTCACGTGATCTTTCTATCTCACTAGCTGCTCTTCCTTCTCAGGTTGATCGAATGAAGTTCTGGCACCTCTAGCGTTTGCGGTTTCTAGCCACCGTATAGCTTCCTTCAAAATATTCTTGCCTTCGTAGGGAATGACGATTTTAAATTCTATAGTATTTATTGTCAATTTCGTTTCAGCAGTTACTCAAGCTCCTTGGACCTTCACACGGGGGTGACAGATTCGAAAGGTAAGTTGTCTGGACACTCCCATTGGCTGTCTGAAATCATGTGACGACTGCCTGTAGAATACTGACTTTCTCATTTTCCCAGCATTTCGTGGAAACAGGTTTCATGGGCAACTTTTCGTGGATAAAAATTTCACGGGCACACATTGTCGTTTCATCTACATTTCAACATTTCACCGACACTTGTTACGCGAATTGCACGCTGTCGGGACATACCGTCGCACGTGTATCATCGGGGTGCTTGTTATTTCACCCGGCCCACCCATTCACGCCACATTGTGGTGACAGTCTGTGGCGGCTCATTACAAAAATGTTAACCCACCTGACCTTTAACCTGGCCCACCCCTACACGGCGCATTGCAGCGACAGTCTGGGGTAACTCATTACAGAGGAAAGAGAATCTAAATTATTCAGTTTAGAGTGACAAGTTCTCCCGCTGCCTTCAAAAAGTTAGTATTCCATGAGATAACACACAAGTATAAACTGCCAGAGGGCACTTCATCATAGCAGTCGGGAGATGCTCTGCTTGCGTTAAAAACCACAGTGTGGGAAATTCATTGTTCCTCAGCATTGTACGATGGATGTTGGGGATTCTCCTATTTTCCGTCGACCTTAGAAGTCCCAACTCCGCAGCGTGATGCTCGACCGTGGAATCCGGTTTGTCATCGTGATGCTCGCTATGCTCTTAGAGTGCAAATCAAATGCCAGACACGTTGAAAACAGTAACAACTTTTCTTCTCTCATACAAAAATATGTTTGTTGGCTGATCATTGCTTGGTTCACAACCTTGTTGAAGCTGTTGACGACCAGGCCTTGTTGAATCAGTCCTTATCAACCACCTTCCACTGTTGTGAAAGGTGGGATATGCAAATCAATTTTGATAAGACTACTGTCTTTAAGTGTAACCATAAAAAAATGTCCCATTTTGTTTTTGTGCGAAATGAATGGAATAGCCTTGCAACATTCTAACATTCTTAAGTATCTTTGTGTCGCAATATCTTGTGATCTCAGCTGGAATACACATACCCAAAATCTATGTAATTTCCATATAGAATACTTGGTTTCATGAGAAGAACTCTAACAGGGACGAATCCTGATGTCATAACTAATGTTTATAAAGCTTTACTGTACCTTCCGCTAGAGTACACTTCAATAATATAGGAGCCCCATACAAAATCTCAAATTAATAAAGTAGAGTGAATACAAAGCCTTGCAGCTAAGTTTCTTTTTTCTAGATACAGTAGGCAGGAGTCGGTTTCAGCATCAATGAGAGAGAAGCCCAGTTGTTTTCCTTAGTGGCGAGGCCTGAAGTTGTGCAATTTATATTTTTTTTATCTACTGTATTTGAATTACTTTAATGTTGATACACAAAGTTACATAAGCACTGGAAGGCAGTCTAGATGGTTAAACAATTAATTATTAGTTCACTTACCTCTCTTCAATCTTGATATTTGTTAAAGGGACAGTGCAACGGTTTTAATGTTGAAAGAATTGCCAGTGTGCACTTTTCATATTGTTTATACAAGCCCAAGTGACCAAAAACGCGTCACCTGTCCCGAAAAAACGGCTATTCTGCTGCGTAATCGCAAGGCAAAAAACAAATTATTTGCCGATCTGCAGTCACCTGTGGCGGCTACGGGAACTAAAATGACGGCATCTCTGGGGGCACGTGGAAGTCAACAAACCCTGTCCCCCTCCGCTGCTACACTCGCCGTCAGCCCCGTGGTGAACCATCCTTTGTGTCCATCGCTTGCCGCGACCTTTGACGAGGCTAATCCTTTGAAAGTCGATAATCGCGGAGGAAGCGGCTGGGATCTCTGAAGAGAGGGCCCAAGGGGAAACCACGTGAATCCCCAGAGTACGTCACTCGAAAGTTGGAGTGGAGAGTTGAGAGGCACCTCGACCTTTGATTTGTTTCATTTTTTTTAAATAAGAACTAGCGCTCGCAAGAAAATGTGGTTTACGGTTTTTTGTTCCATAGGTGACGCAGATTAATTTCCGCAGTTAATTGGCCAAAGTCTGAAAATCGTTGCACTGCCCCTTTAATATTCTTTTCCTGTGAAGACCATCGAAGACTGGCATAGGTAACCCCCGAGTGTTTTCATTAATGTCTCTTCTGTTGAAGCATTTGAAGAAAAATTGTTGCATTGATTTTCTGACGAGTAGTTGTGTTTCCAGTGATGGAAGCGCTGCACCATTTGTGCCAAATTGCGCCAAAATGCCATTTTTGCTAAGAATTGCGCCACACCTGCGCCAAGATGGGCTTAGAGCCATAAAATTAATGTTTTATTATTGGTCGACCTTAATATTCGGAGAAGTTAAGGAAAAGAAAAATTGTGCAAATATAAATTTCAGAGCGTCTCTACTCACCGTATAGTTTGTTTCGTCTTAGGTCAGAGAACTGTCGAAGGCTCGAACACATACTAAAAGCGCAAGTCACAGGACATTCATTGCACTTGATTGTTTTAGCTGATAAAAAACATCTACAAAAAGATGACGAATGCCATGCTGTCATGCTTTGATGCTGGGGATCAACTGGCCAGAGTCGATGCTAAGCATCAATCGCTCTGGCCGGTTGATGCTCTGGCTGGTTTATCGCTGACATTGTCTAAATTTCCAGACAGTGTCGTTGATGTCAGGAACTAAGGGTCCTGAGAAAACTTTGCAAAATAGTAGGATTGTCGATTGCAGCTACTCTGACAAAACAGAACCAGGGTCTTGTACTCCTGATAATATCACTTGATTATCATGTCTGCCACATGCCTTCGTTCCATGGCTGCAGAATACGGTGGCACTTGCGGTGCTCGCATCAACGTTCACGGCCTCTCATCAGTATGCGTGTGCCGAGCTTCACCACTTTGCACTGGTGTGCTAGGAGCAGTGGTTGACCTGGGGGAGTGCCTGGCTTAGCGCAATAGGTGCGCAAATTATGCTTAGGCTTATTACAGGTCAAACTTACTTGTCCTAATTGTAAGTTAATCTTGAATTTAAAAAAAAAGAAACAGCAGAGAGAGAGAGAGGGACGAAAACAAGGGTCTATATATATTTGAATAAATACGGTTGTCACAGTATTTCCTGTGCAGCTGTCAATCGAAAGAGCTGCGAATTTTGACGTAACTCTCGTTTCTACGCTGCTAAAAAGCAGTGGCACCTTTAAACGGGTGCTGAATCAAAACTTTAAATATACAGAAAACATCAAGAAATAAGTTGAATAGAATCAGCTAAACCTGTAATTGATAATCACATGGTTATACTTTAAGCGGATGGTTATATTTTTCGTTCTAAATGACGGGAATTTTGCTAGCGCTTCAAAATCAGCCATTGAAGAGCGCAATGCATCTCGGGAGATCTGGCAGATTTGGTGCAGCCTTGAAGTCATCATACCACGAAGGTCCAAACGGTGCGTTTGGACCTTTGCCACTTGGAGGCGTCAACGCATTACAATCTCACTTAGTCAAAGTACCCGAAGGTTGTGTAGCATATCGCGGAGCCAGCAGAGCGGCGGAGCGGAGCTGCCTCGAGTGAGCGATGGCCAACCAACACAGGAGAGCGGTGGGTATGATGACATTAATGAGAACGAAGACGCAGCTACATCACCAGTGGCCATGATGGCCGAGAAGTGATTTGGCCTAGAGTTGTATTTGTATTCCTTGTCTTAGTCGCCTGCAACAGGTAATAAAGCTTATTTCATGAAAAAATCTTGCAACAAAACCTAATAAATTTATATTCACAAAGTGAAATTATCGCAAGTTCTTCAAAAGCTACGACTAAATTCTACAACCACGCCTACAACAGCTCCAGAGGTTTACACACTTTTTATGGTCAAATCCACATTGCAATCAACAAGGCTCGCTTATGTCGTCGTGACAGCCAATGTGCACTTTATGTGCTCTCCGTGCGCGCCCCGACTTCAAGCAACAAGAGAAAGAAAAAATAAGTACTGGGAGTTTCCGGGAAACGAGAAACATGTTTTTTGGCCCAGGTAAATAAACTATGCATTGCAGAAAGCTCAAACTTTGTAAGAATATGACACTGGCGGTTGGGATAGAACGCAAAAGTTTGAGAACATGACGTTACCTTGTTAAGATCATTGAGAAAAAAGAAATTTGTCCATGAACCGACGTCCACCCTAGCCTAATATCGTTAGAACAAAAAATGACACTATAATAGCATGTAGCATCTATTTCAGTGAAAAAAACTTCTCAGCAAGAAAGGATATTGTTTTTTTTCTTGCAGACAAGTTTTTTTTTCATTGAAATAGACACTACAGGCACCTACAGTGTCATTTCTTGTTTTAACAATATTAGGCTTAGCTGGTCGTCAGCCCATAGAGAAAATTCGTTTTTCTCAATTATCTTTTGACCCAGATGACGTCATATGCCCAAACTCACTCTTTCTATCCCAACCGCTAGCTTCATATTCGCAAGAAGTTCAAGCTTTCTGCGATGCTGAGTTTATTTACCCAAACCGAAAAACATGGTTCCCGTCTCTCGGAGACTCCCTGTACCTGAACCTGAATGCTGTGGTAGAAACAAATGCTGGAACCATGGATACCGAAGAGGCTACGACAACAATCCCGCTGACCAAACGACAGCCAAGGATCTAGGAGTGGTAGGCCTGGCAAGACGCTGCGACGCAATGTTGCTCGGACAACCCGGGACAAGACCATCCGCACACGACCCGCTGGCTTGCTGAATAGAATAATGCCGCGAGCGCAGCTGACTAAATAGGCAGCGCACTCGTGGCCTAACGGTTATCGCGCGTGTCTTCCACGCAGAAAGCCAGGGTTTGATTCCAGCCAGCGGACTGTCCTTTTATTTTCTTTTTCAACTTGCCCTTCTCGTAAGTTTGAGAACATTCTCGTCTGATTGAGTTCCGAATGTTCTACGCATCGAAAGTTCTACACCGAATGATCCAGAAACCCACGAGGGTACATAAGGGACTCCACAGGGCGAGCGAAGTCAGTTTCGCCCCAGCGTTCGACTCTGCTCTTTCGCCGGCTT